TAAAAATGACTCTGACATTAAATAAATGTTTTTAAGACTAACTATAAATTAAAATATCACATTTACAATAAATACTTTGAAAATTATCATTAATATTATATGATTGCTTTTCCCCCCTGAAACTTTGTGATCTAAAGGTCGTTGGTTCAAACCCCGGCCACGACTAACGAAAGTTGTTTAGAAAAAAAATCAATTGCAAGTGATAACTGTTCTTTAACCAAGAGCTCGGCACTTTGATGTGAAAGTTGCTGGAATTTTGATGAAATCTTCAAAACCGAGGCCCGTGTCACGAAAGAAATTGACACGATAAAGATTCGCCATTTTTATAGTTTGAGTTTCGAGTAAATGTTTAAAGTTAAGCCTTTCAAAGGTAGGTATGTTGACGTCTCTATATGAGTAAAATTTCCTGGAATGGGACGTAAAACAACATACAATCAATCAGATACATATTTTCTGAAGTAACTGGTATATAAATGCAAAGTTTATGTTGGTCCCTATACATAGTAAGTACTTTATTTTCTAAATACCAGTAATCAATTTCCAGATTTATGCTTACCTCATGAATTCACGAGAGTCACATAATTATTTAGAACAAAGGACTTTTGAAAATCATTATTTCTGTGAAAGGGGAATTAATATTTGCACTTCATTATTTATATAATTTTTTGAACACAATGGTGACATATAGAAAACCCTCTGATATATGTTTATAAATAATAACTAAACTTATGAAATAATTACATCTATTTAAAAATGTTGACACATCTCAAAATTAATATGTGCCTCTTTCTCTCATGGTTAAAAACCTATTTTACTTAGTTGGGATAAAAACTGAGTAACAGTTATGCAATTAATTAAATATATATCCAGGTGGACGTATAACAGAAGTCAAGAAAGCTAGACGGGCAAACTGAGTCACAGGACTCCTTCATTTCATACGAGACCCTAATAAATTCCACTACGGATAATATCTACCGAATAACATTTGGACCCTGTACAAGTGTTTATACATCAAACAAAGTAACAGCAAAGTAATTTGATAACTGTACTTACGAAAAGACACAAGACCGTCTTCACGATTTGTCATACTTGAGGATGCTTTGTGAAACGAAAATGACAAATCCTAGTTGTTGCAACAAAAATCTTATAGGGTTGAAATAATGTCCCGTGTCGGAATGTCATAAATTTTATGGATTCTGTAGAAGATTACGCCAGACGATGGGACAGATATAAAAAAAGACGTTGACACTTTGCAAAAAAATTGAGGGACGACCATGAAAACCATCTATCCTGATGAATTCAATAATGCAGAAGTGAAAAAAGAAAGGTTACATGATCCGTATGTACTGCTACCCCTGCTGACAAAGCAGGTAACAACATTGTCTTCGTATGTACGGCTCGTTATATAATTATATTGTTTTGAAGAAAAACTTGGATTTAATGCTACAAGTGGTAATCCAATTAATATTTATAGTTCCCTTTCTTCAAAATTATACATGTGTGTCAGTTTTGGGAATATTTTATATCTCAAACAACCAAAATAAATTTGAATAACGATACAGTGTATCTTAGTTGGATTTCAAAACTTCATAAAATTCCATACAAAGATACATTTAGAGCGTTCCGATAAATGTTCTATCAAGTCTCTTTCTTTACTCCTCAGTAAGATATTAACAGTAGTGAAAGAGAAACTTCAAGAGTACTTTGCAACAATATATCCAAGAAGTGATGTAAATCAGATGTGGACACTTAAAAACTCCATGGAAATTTGGACAATTTGAAATCACAAGCTTTTACCAAGATCAACAGCTCAAAAACTTTCAACTTTATACGTAATCATTCCCCACCATAAAATAAGGTCCAGGTTTTTTAACATCACTGACAGCTGCTTTTTCAATAAGAAAGGAACTCGTAAATTTACTGTCATTAGTCATTTGCAGAATTATTTTGTAAAAATCATTCTGATTGTACACACAAGTACTCTGAAATAGACATTAAAAGATATGTTTTTGATCTTGTATCTATTTTGTTTTGGAGACCAGGTCTTTCAATAATTTATTGAAATTCCCATGGGGACCAATAGCGCCCCGTTATTAGTAGATCTATTTTTGTATTCATATGAAGCAGAATTTGTCCAAAATCTTATATCTGAAAAGAAGAAAATACTTGTTGTGGCCTTCAACTCGACATGTAAATACATCGATGACGTATTGTCAATAAATAATGGTAATTTCTACTCTTGTGTCGATACGATATATTCCGATGAGCTTGAAAAAAAAAAGATTCCACAGAGTCTGACACATCTGTTTTGTATTTTGATATTTTACTTGAAGAAAAAGACGTTAATGGTAATCTGACAATCAATCTCTTTGATAAATGTGATGAATTTAAGTTTTCAATCGTCAGATTCTCTTACTTTTTCAGCAATATACCTTCATCACCAGCTGCACACGTAGTTTAAATCTCTAAGTTGATTCGATACGCAAGAGCATGCTCTACGTATGAACAATTTCTTCAGCGAGGTAAATTTTGTACTAATAACTTTATGAAAAAAGAATATCAATATTTTCGTTTAAAGTCATAATTTCGTCAGTTCTGTCGTCGATACAATAACCTTGTCAGTAATTACAATTTATCATCGAGTTAAATGCCGACTGACGTTTTTCATACTAATCGTTAGTACATTATTTACACACTGATCGAATTGACAACGGATTTTCCCTTTATTTCCTGATCATTCAAAGCAAGTTTAAAAAGTAAAGAAGAAAAAATAACTCAAAGACAATAAGTCAACTCAAAAATGATAGAAAATGTAATTGTTGATATACATGTTTTTACAGACCAAACTATCTTCATACACTCAATAAGATACAGTGTATTATCTCTTAAGTCTCTATGAAACACAAACTACATTGATGAATTGTCTGAAAAGACTATTCTTAAAACCTCACATGCATTAATTAGACAGCTATGGCTAAACACGTAGTTAAATACATTGGAATGTTTTATCATTCAATGCTCAGGTAAGAATTCTGACTTTCGATTTAGGTACATTGTACTTCGCAAAAGAAGATCTTAGTTTTAATGCTGTTTGTGTGAGTATATATAAATCGATCGACCACTCTTAATTCGGAATAAATCATTTGGATTGACAATGGCGGTGCCCGTTAAAACTGAACTATAGTTTTCATTCCAGAAGAGTAAAATGAAAACTAAATAATTGATGTATGGTCATTTACATGCTTCTAAGAGTTAAACAAGAGTACTTCTAACATCTTTGCCCGTTATGCTTGTACTTTGGACATTAGAACTGCTTCCAACTTCCGAAGCTTCCAGATTCAAGTAGACATGCGCTTTACGGATTCCAAACTTAAATGTATCCTGTAATGCCGAACGGAATTGTTGACTCATCAAGAAAAATATCCAGAAATTGCATGCGTAACTAATTAATGAAAGAAGCGTGGAAATCGTATCCCACATAATGTCGTCTTCCTTTGACAGAATCGATCTCTTTGAGTTGCGGGAGAGCTCAGCTGCATAGATAAAGTAAGCAATGCCGTCTTGTATCTCAGCAATTAGAAATACCACCAAAATGAGGAAAATTAATCCCGTCATCCTCTGGATCTGTGCCTTTCTTTGACCAGTAGCAGCTCCCATTGTCCGTCGTGTTAATAAAATATAGGCCAGTGTTACAGTCGTAAAGACGAGGATGACAACAGGAAGAACACGATAAAGCAGACCGGAAAAGATGAAATATATCATTTTTGATTTCGTAGGATCACCAAAAGCTTTGATCAAACCAAGGGAAGTATCTCTTATGCAACTTGAAGGTAAAGACTCATTTTTATACCAATCGGTATAAACTGGAAGTTCTGCAATGTATATTCCGAAGGCTTCGTAGAGATTCAGCAAGAACGCAACTAAAGCTATAACTGAAATTTCTACACCTGTCGCTACATTACTACATAACCTGCTATATTTGAAAGGCAACGCTACAGCAAGCAATCGTTGCACGCCCAGCATAGCTGTAAACCAATTTGACGTCATCCTGCAGATTTGGTAAATAATGTACAACACCTGATTAGCTTTGCACCATTCGTAAGTCATGTAGAGATTCTTGTAGTTTTCTGCCATGTTGAAATATATCGCCTCCGGCAGTTGAGTGACACATATGATAGAGTCTGATATTGCCAGTGATGTCAAAACAATGGTGGTAGGAGACCTTGTACTTCGGAAGATGAAAACAGAGATCAGCAAAATGTTGGTTAATATGGTTATTAGAGCTATGAAAAATGTTAAATAGCCTCGTATTGGAACTTCCCATTCTCCTGCGATTTCGTACTTTGAGCGTAAAATTCCGAGTAGTAATCCTGTAGCATTCTTTGTGTTGTTTCCTGAATTTGGATGTAGTAATATTTCATATAATTAAACTAGGAATCTGAAACCCACAATTTAATTAGCCGAGGTTGCTAAAATGAGTTCTGACTCACCGCTTAATGATATTTATTTATTTTTAGATATCTTAGACATCTTATTATGGAAAACATTTTCTCCATAGTCATAATTAGTAGCATTCTGTTTAATTTATAATATTTTTTACAGAGTTAAAGTGTGTTGTTTAAATCGACAAACGTAGAATTTGGAATAAAGGTTAATATCTTTACTGGTTTCAAATACTCTTCAAAAGCAAAAAAAATCATTGTTCAATTTAAATAATTTCCTTCAATTCCTCGTGTATTTGTTTTTTTCATATAATTTGAAAACGAAGGGAATCTTTGAAGCAGTCAACAATTTGAATAGCCTAGTTTGCTAGAACGACCAATGTTGTTTATCAGACCACTGTTTGACAACTGAATTGCTAAGGCTTTAAGATATTTATTTATTTTTACAAAAGATATTTATTTAACATTTCTACCAAATATTATGGAGAAACGGAAGTATGAGGTTCATAAGATAATAACAAAAAGTGGTGTGCAGGAAAGAGGAAAATTTAATTGTTT